AGAAAAGCAGGCCCAGGTCCACTGTTGGCCTGTCCACTGAAGCCCCCACCCGTCCTTTTAGAGAGCATGGATGAGGCCAAGGAGCAGCAGGGAAGGGAAGGGGAGCACACTCCAAAGATCAGGACAGGATTAGCGCTAATGCGGCCTGCTTTATCTACAGTCACGTGGGCTAACACCTGGGACTGGCTCTCTCTCAGGGTGTTGAAGAAGCCAGCAGGGCTAATCTCGCGGCCTCCCCACACACACTCATACGCGGCACACACACACACACACAGAGCAGCCACATATGCTAACCATCCCAACACACGTTCTCCTCTTCTCCTCACACGGAACTTTCGGACTCCAACTCTGATACATAATTACCCAGCAATATTTGTTGATTTACGTTATATTGTTTGAGCTACAGTTTAACTCCTATTTCATTTCCCAGAAGCTCTTGGTTATTGTGTTATTAACTCCCTGTGGTTCCTGTGGGCGTTGAGTAAAAGTTTGTTAAAGTGTGATTCCACCCAGTGCGTTCTTTTCCAGCTCTTTGAATGACAGTGCTTGCTTTCCTAAGGCAGAGTTGGGACAAATGACTGTAATGCTCAAATCAGATTTGTTTCTTCCTGTCTTTTTTCCTAACCTAATCACATTCATGTATTTATACAAGCTAGCAGCTTGGGAAAGTTTTCTGAAATGCAATGGAACAAACTGCAATGGAAAAGACTCGGACTCGTGAGGTGAAAAAAATGTTTGAGCTTCATGCTGAATGTGGGTGTGGGGAGTGATCTAGCGGCCTGTTTAAACATAACATCATGTTATATTAACATTGATTTGTGCTGCTCGTGTACAGTTTGTGTGAAATGCACGCTTGATTCATTTAAGTCCTCATATCAAACCAGAATAAAAAATGAAATGGTAGAGTGCGAGTAAACTAGTAAATCACACTTTAGATGTGAAGTAATAAGTCTGCAACATGGTGAAGTTTTGTTAAAATATTCAGTTTGGTTGCTTGTCTAAACCAAGTACCAATAGCGTGATTGAGTAAAGAATAATAACAGAATTTGAACATTACAGTATGCTGGCTAAACATATTGTAACAGTCTGATTCAGTCTGACAACAGTGCACATGTTGGTGAGAAATCAGATTCTGCTAAATGTTTCTTAGCAGGTGTGTGATTTGACTCCTCAGTTCACTGCTGATAGGGATACTATGAATATTTATAATGTTATTGTGTATTAAGACAACGTCTGATCCACATGTGGAGCACAGTCTGATTCATGTGTGTTGCAGTGAATCTTGTTTCTCTGTGCTGTGAGGTCATAACAGGCTAATCAGAGCTCACCTGAACACTGCTGGTACAGCCCATTGCTAAGCGCTAATGCACTGTCTCAGTCCTGACCTATCTATGCATCAGAGGTTACTGTGGGTACTGTGAGACCTACACTTAACAATAGCTATTCTAAGCATGTGTCACATAGATCCGGATCCTGTGTTGCTGCACTGATTGTTACAGGATTGGATTGAATTCATTCTGTTTTTTCCCTGTGATATCCGATCCAGCATTTTCGGGATAAAATTTCAGCTCTTGCAATTTGGAAATTGTTCTTTTTCAAATTGTAGTTTTTATATAAAAACAAATAATCGTTTAGCCCTATCTCAGACGAATACCTGATATCGAATTGGTGTCATCTCTAAATATAGGTACAAATCTGCGCTGCTGGTATCAACAGCATCTTTGTTTTTTTTTTAACTCTTAATCTTTTGCATTGTGGAATACCTACACTACACTTTAGACCCAAATAATTAAACCAGGAAATGATGTCTTTTCAGTAATAAGAGTATATAGAGGCTTTATGAACTGTTTTTCCAGTATATTATTCCAGTGGCAAATACTACCATTGTTTAGAAATTGTAGCACAATAAATTATGCTTATGAGAGGACATTCATGAGGGTCAACTGCAACAACAAATATGCTGACAGATTACAATAGAATATTTTATAATCATATTATTTTCTGTCATCCCATAACTTAGTAGGGCCAGCCAGTCCTGAATGATTGAGTGGCTAGTTTATATTATATTGAATAGCAGCTGTTTGTAGACTTTGATCTTGTCTTACATTTCTAAATTTGTACTCTAGACTGAAATTTTATTGTGCCATTTTACTTACTGTGATATATTATGCTAGCATCATTCTTCAGAGCTGACTACAGTTAACAGTACTGGTGGTCTATTTATAGTAAGGGTGTAATACATCATCAAGGCTTTCTGTATGTCCATGCTAGAGGGGGACAGAGGCACCCATTACGAGTTTAGAAGCTGACACTGTTTCCGTAACTGGGTCGTATTATACTAATGTGTGTGTGTGCTAACCTAAATGTTATATTTTTGACAAAAGTGTGCAGATGTCGCATACATTCTGGCAGTCAGGTTTGCACTGCAGCTTTTTACGTTTGCTTCTTTACGTAATTCAGGACCTTCAAGGCCATAAAGTCAGCTATTTCGTTCAGACAGTTTTGATTTGTGGATCAACAGAGGTCACTGAAAGAGGAATTTGATATCATTACACAGTCTGCCATCCCAAGGTCGGAACAGTCATTCCGCAGTTGGGACCTCTGATCACTGAAGCATGCTTTAGTATTGCGTTTCTCGACCCCTTTCTTCCTCCACTGTCTACGTCCAAGTGTCCACACGCTTGTTAAAATATAGTGTGCATAGGAAAATCAGAAACATCTGACACAAATAAAAGCCCAGTTGCACAGAGGAGAGACACACAAGTCTATTATTCAGATAATGGACAGAAGTTAGAACAAGATACAACTCAATGAAGATAATGTTAGGGCTGCATATATATAATTTGTTATTTCATCATGGACATGTGTAATAATGCAAAAAAGGCCTCAATACCCAAATTAATCTAGTCTTAGATAACATCTTATCTGTTTTCGTGCAATGTTATGTATAGGGATTTGCCTTCAGACTAATGTTCTGATTAATATTCAGATATACATAAGTGTCAATGAACATATAATCGGGTAAGCACAAGGAAGGAAAAACCAAAAGAATGCATTCCGCCAACATTAAGGCAGAGCTATAGGCTTACTTTTTAGGTGACAGCACTGGTATAGCAGCACACAGAGGAATACATTTTAAAACATGCCTCGTTATTCAAAAATAGCCAAGGGAAAGCAGTAGACTTTCGTGTTGGATAAGTCACGGAGGCTGTCTCTTCAGAGGAGCTAATGAGCTAACAGAGCTAACCGGTACAATCCTGAATGGTGATGAGGACTTGTTGTCTTCTTACAGGTGGACAGTGTGCCAACATGTTAATTTGTCACTCTTTCTGGACCTAGCTAAGATCAGCTAGAGTAATTTAGTTAGCCTTGTTAGTGAAAAAGCTGCGCCATACCTTAACTCATCCTTAACATTGTGTCCTTGGCAACTCGCTTAAGTTCAGGTGCTCATGTTTCAAGTAGCAAAGCATACTTACTCGCTAATATGAGTGAACGTACTATATTTTACAGTCCTGTCAAAACATAAAATCAGTGTTTCACTGAATTGTATGTCTGTGTATTTTCTCTGTCTTTCCATGCTAAAATTAAGCAAATACCCAAATAGTGATTTCAGCATTCGAATATTGGCATCTTGTATGGTTAACTGAGCACTTAAATACCCGTGCACTGTACACTCCAGTTATGTACCTGTTTTCCTGTGAAATGGTAGTTTTTTCAAAAGCTGAAATTTACACGGGTCTGCTTTTGTTTTATTTTTGTACTGGCATTGAATTTTGAGTGAACACAGACTTCTGCTTTCTTCACCCAGTTCTTTTGCTTTGTATGTCTTTGTGGCCTAGACTTTGGGTATGCCTCAGAGTTTTTGAGAAATCTTGACAGGTTTCATGTACAATGAATACTTCATACTCTAACAAATCGGAATGTCCAAACTTTAAGTTTTTGTTATGTGTGATGGCAGTTTAAAAGCCTTGCTGATTAAGGCTTGGCAAGAGCTGAATGCATCTCCTACGAGCATGTTGGAGCATGGAAGGCAGAGAAAACAAACTCCAAAGCCATCAATCTGAACCATGTGCAAGGATCAAAACGAAATGCCAAAGCACTTGGGAGGGTCATGTCTCACATGGACCAGACTAGTTCTGTAGGCCGATTTGCAGGTTTCATCGCCTGATGGAGTTCCCTCTGAGGACAAGCAAAAGCGCGTGGGTGCGAAGAGACAATTCTCACTGCGTGATCAAGAGAAGGCCTTCATCAGGCTTCAAACTAAGCCAGATTGAATCTCAGGTTACCAGAGTTGAGAAGCTCAGATGAATATAGGCTTAGCCTCTGGTGCCTCTTTCTTGCCTAAAACACACCACCTCTCATTGACCAATATTATTAGGTCATCTGCAGCCCTAAGCAGTACAGTTTGACTGCAGTGGCAAAAGATGAGCTGGTCTGAAACATGAGGTTACATGCATAAAGTGATCATTGTTGTTTTAAAGCTCTAACCAAGCTGTTTCTTTTCATATGCACCATGCAGAGAAAAAAGTTTACACAAAAAAAAATTCCAGGATTGCAACATCTATGCAAATATGCTCTACCTCTTCAACTTTCATTTCAATCTGTACCAAACAATGCAGCATTCAGGATGGATGTTTCACAGGAAGGAGCAGTAACTGCAGATCCTTCAGGGATTTGACTCTGGTGGTCCACTAAACATAGATTTCCTTTCTAGAGCAAGCTGATTAAACACTATCAAATCTGATTAGGATATTTAGTTCATTGATCTTCACAACCAATAAAATCTCCTTAAACTATATCCTCTCAAATTCAAAGATAAAATGAACACAAATCCTGGACACCCATAAATCTACGGAACTGCCGATTCTCATTTAGTGAAGAGGGCTAGTCATATGTGTATTCTGGCACAATGGGACCTCTGGGATCCTGAGCTTTCTGCACTTTTTAACACATGGGCTGTAAGCAGGAGCTTACACTAACAAAAGGAGATGTGTCCTTACCGAGGGCCCGGCTAAGTCGGACTTATCAGGGTGGCGTTGTGTTGGGTTGACCTCAGGGAAAAGGTGGGGAGGGAAAATCTCTCATTTTGTGCTGGGAGCCAGGATTGGGAACGACAGATTGTGCTCCCCCTGTGCCTCGTACATCCATGTATTCAGAGAACCTCCCGGCTAAGCTGGGTTAGGCTTGGCTGGGCTGTGTTGGGTTTGTCAGATGGAGTCTGTGTGGTCGTCACGATTTACTACTAAAACTTCATCATCACAGTGAGCCCAGTTCCAGGTTTTTCCTGAGTGTCTACATCACTTGCATGAGTCAGGATACCCTGGAGGCGGGCACGGAATTTCCTCATCCTTTGGCATAGTCCATTAGGCAGGTCCGGGACTAGCAGATTGCAACTTTATAATCTTAAGCAGCATGTAAAGTGTGCTTGTATGAATCCAGGTGCCTCTTAGATATATGATGATTCCCCTTCTGCTTATAGGGTTTCAAACCTATACAACAGGGATAAGGAAAAGGATTGCATCACGCAAAGCAGAAGACAGATCAATGGCATTCATGTGAAGCAGGTGGACATGAGGGATAGAGTGACAAAGAAAAGAGTCAAAGTTCTTTTTTACAGTCTGCACTATTTCTCAAAATTTGGTTTATTTTTAACATAAGAGAAATGAAAAAAAAGTGATTCCCCAGTTTGGTTAACAATTTGCCCATTATAAAAATTACCCATTTTGAAAAACTTTAAGCCTCACTTACTTCTGTCCCTGCCTGTTGAAATCCTGACAGCATCTCCTCTTGCATGGTGGATATGTTTACAGGACAAGGTATGTGTTTGGAGTTTAAGGACAGGCTGAGTGTGTGTGCGCTCCTCCTGGTTGTACTCTCTCTTTCTCTCTCTCTCTCTCTCTCTCTCTCTCTCTCTCTCTCTCCTCCCTGTGTTGGAGGCTCCTCCTCAGACGGAGCAGTGGTCACACACTAGCTCAGATTACTGTTGTTTCACTAATCGTATGTGGCAGGGCCCTGGCACTCCCCCATCATCAAGCAGGACATGAAGGCTGAGGGGGGGTGGTCACCAGGACACGCTGACCAGAGGCTTCTAACACCTCTTTGCCACTGCATGTCTCTGTATCACAAGCAGCAGTGGGCCAACTGGCGGCCTTGAAGTAGCCACTCTTAGCCCTGTCAGACAGGCTTTTAAAGCTCCCACTTTGTCTGTGTGACGATGGAAACTGTACTGTGACCTGTAAAACCTACCAAACTGGCCTTGCTTTTCTTAAAGCTTTACTGGTTATAAATCTTTTCCAGTTTCAGGTACGTTTGGACTAGAATGCTAACTTGTAAAGCCTTGCTTAATGAGCTCGTTCATTTCTACACCTTTAAAAAAAAGATGGTTCTTCAAGGGTTCTTTAGTAAAGACAGTGGTTGTTCAAAGAACCATGAACATTGAAACGACAATTTGCATACTTGAAGGTTCTTTGCATCGTGAAATGGTTCTTCAGATTGATGGAGAATGTGTTGTATATTGTTCTATTTAGCACCAAAGAAGATTCTTCTATTGTTGCAATCTTGATACTGTTACAATAGCAGAACCATGTTTGGTGCTATACAGATCCCTTTTCTTAAAGGTTCCATATAGAACCATTGTCTTTGTTAAAGAACACTTGAAGAACTATCTTTTTATGAGTGTACAGTCCACCTCATATCCTTAGATCCTTAGTTCTGCCACTTGTTGCGCTCTAGTTGTTCATTGCTACAGCTCCCACACTCCGAAACTCCTCATGACTGCTCTTCTGTTTCATACTTTAAAACCGTCGTCCTCCGTAATGTTCCTTATTTCCATTTCTCTTATTTTTGTTAATTTTTCCCTGCTGTAGAGCATCCTTGTAAAAGGCACTATACAAACAAAACATCTATTATTTATTATTTATACACTGAGTTGCTAGTTTATTAGGCACATCTGTAAAGTAAGATTTTGTTCCTCCTTTGGTCTTAAGAACAGTTGCTCTTGGCATGGTTTCTTCAACACACTGGATGTGTTGTGCAGGAATGTTGTACCATATGTAAATTATTATGTTGTGATGTTTCTGCAAATTGGATGGCTGCTGTGAAAGCCCTTTCCATATTATCCGACATGATGCTCAGTATAGTTGAGAGCCAGGGGCTGTGCAGGCCACTGAAGCAATGAAAACTCACTGTCATGTGTTTAGAACGATTTGATGATGATACATGATGATGACTTGGTGCCTTATCATGCTAAATTGTCAATCTCGTTTTAAGCTGAGTGTACACTGCACAATTTCAATTCCAGTTTTCAAATCTTCCAGTCACCGAAAAATTTGTGAGATCTGTGACAAACTTGATTTGCCTGGTGGTGGTTCTTCTGGTTGCATCAAGTTCACAATTCTCCTTTGATTACCCAGACCACTGAGTTACCTTCATCTACAAGATCACTGATCACAGGTAGTTATTGCTTTTCGCACAGTTGTCAGTAAACCCTTAAAATGGTTGTGCAATAAAAGAACAGGATGACAGTTGTTTGGAAGATCCTGGAACCAGCATGCCTAGTGGTAACTCCCTTAAGGTAACTTGGCTGCTAAGAGCCTTGGCTTGCTCATTTTGCACTAACACTGTACTGAACACTAACTGATGTCATAAATGCTAGTCTACCTGATTTATACCACATGCTGCAGTCACGTGATACATTATTTATTGTAATGTGCATGTGTTATTATTTGTAGTAGTAGTAGTAGTAGTAGTAGTAGTAGTAGCAGTAGTAGGTGATCCAGGGGTTGATATTAGGCTTGTTTGTGGACTTCAGTTCTATGGACAGTTAAATCCATTTTTTAATTGTTCAAAGGCCTAAATCACTTGTCCACAGAAAAAAGTAACAACATTTGCAAATGTTTTCATTGAAATGCTACAATTAGCACTGAGCAATTTATAATGTGTGTCTGTGTGTGTGTGTGTGTGTGTGTGTGAGACTATGATGCAGTCTACCATTTGTTCCTGCTCTTCTCATTCGAGAGAGATTTTAGCCTGCTCAGTTTAAATGGTGTTCCTTTATCAAACAAGGTTTCATTATGTCACACTTTTTCAAAAAGTTTAGAATGTTTTGAACAGCTTCCAAAGATCAGATCTTTTCCTGAATCCATAATTTCATTTCCCTTAAACTCTCAAAAGCCCTGTTTTTACCATTGCTATCAAAAACATTCTGACTGATAAGCTTGGCTGCTCCCGCAGAATTGGAGCTGTCAGGTCTCATGAAAATATAGACTTATTTACTGTGCATGTGCCTCGTTATGCTACTCTTGCTGGGAAACCTAAACATTTAACGTATATGTTAAAATGATCCTTTTTAAAGTGTTCACTCATCAGAATATGTTCATTTTTTTGTTTTGCAGAATAATCTGTTAGCCTGTTTGTTATTTTTATCTTGTGTATTTACTTGTCTGACCGGACAAGTAAATTCATCATCCACTTGTCCTGGCCTAGCAGACAAACGTTTACGTCGAGCCCTGTTATTGTGTTATGCTTTCGATCAGAAACTGGATGCACCTCACACGAATGCTGCGGCACGCATGGCCTTCAGCTCGATTGGCTAATAAGGAATGTCTTCAATCACGCTAGAGAACGATTCCCTCTGGAAGTCATTTCAAAAGTAAAACATCTTGCGAGCTGAAGACATAAACCAGAGGAGAAGTTTACTAGAGAGAGAGAGAGAGATGAGGAGAGAATGAAAGAGATGGAGAGAAAGATTCACATCTTTAAAAACAGGCCAGCTTTTTTGCAGTGTGAATATCGGGTGTTAAAAGCAGCTAATGGCAAACAGATGGAGGGCTTATGGGCGGCCCTCCAGCACTACAATCTTCAGAATAAATAAATACCTGGTTGCAGCGTGAGATGTCCGAGAACAACACAGAAGCAGCGGCCAAGGCTCTTACAACCACAACTGGGCAACAGGGGTCAGGGCAAGCTGCAAATAGTGTGTGTCCAGTTCCTGTCCCCCCGGCACCTTTTCCACTTGTAAGAGAGTGTCTGCTGCTCTGTTATATACAAATGTTATTCACCTGTAGCAATAAAGACACACTTTGTTAAAGTGATGAAATGGGTCAGTAGAAAAAGGCTTTATCATATTCAGTGTAATAACTGAGGAATCAGCTTATATTTTTAGTAAGTATAATAACAGTAATAACAGTAACTATTAGAGCCAGGAACAGTTACAGTGAGGGTAACACAACAGTAACAATAATGATGACAATATAATGATGTAATAATGACAGTAACAGGGCAATTATAAGCAATAAAGTGAGTAATAAAAAACTTATATGGATGCCTGCATGTCTGTTCAGCAAGTACATGACCAGCAAACACAGCTTTGAACAGTTGTACACATATAAGACCATAATATTTTTCATTAAAACACAAAAAAAGTTTACCTAATTGCAGAAAACATGTTTTGGTAGTGACAATTCTTAATGTTACACGCTTTCAGACTTTCTTTCAGACTTTGGGACAGATTCACCTTAGAAAACAATTAGGATCTAGCTGCTTACCATGTGGCAGTAAGGGAGAGGAATGCAGTCTCACATCCTGCTCTAAAATACAGGGGTGTGGCTACAATAAGACTATGGACTAAAACTCTTTGTGTTTCAGTAATAATGTGAAAACATGGGAGTTTTTACTTTAAAAATTAAACTCATAATAAATCTTAAAAATACATCTTCACCTTAGCTGAAATCAAAAAGTATTTTAAAAACACTGAATTTTTTTTTTCTTTTCAAAAGTTGAAATGTAGGAGTTAGGGTTTGGGACAGCCACCTCCCAATAATAAGTACCCTATAAATTTGGAATTTGCATATATTTAACTTATGGCTATCTCAATTAATGCCTTCAAATGCAAATCTGTGATTTAATTCTGTTGCACCTTTATTTAACTGACAAAAATACAAAGATAAGATTTGCAGTGTTTTCACTGACCAACTTAATTGTAATTTATAAATACAAACTAATTTAGAATTTGATGCCTGCAACACTCACAAAAAAGGTTGTGGCTGAGGCATGTGTTCACATTTCACTTTTCATTACATGTGTTCACCTTTCCTTTTCATTACACTTATTAATCATTTGGGAACTGAAGATACTATTTGTTGCAATATTGCAAGTAAAACATTTTCCTGTTCTGGCTTGATTCAAGAGTTAAGCTGCTCAGAAGTCCATGGTCTTTGTTGTCTTATTCTCTTCGTTGTCTTATGCACCATACATTTTCAGTAGGAGACAGATCTGGACCGCCAGTCAAGCACGTGCAATGTGTGTCTGCAAAGCCACTCTCTTGTTGCACATGCAGAATGGGGCCTGACATTTTCTTGCTGAAATAACCAAGGACTTCCCGGGAAAAGATGTTGTCTTGATGGCGGCATACGTCTCTCTAAAATCCGAGTATGTGCCTCCGTGTCTGTAGTACCTTCACACATTTGCAAGTTACGCAGTCCCATGGGCACTGATGCACCCCACACCATGACAGATATTGGCTTTTGCACCTTTGCTAATAAAAGAATGGATGGCCCAATTTGTCTTTGACACAGAGAGCTTGATCTCTGTTTTTTCCACTGTCTTTCAGACCATCTCAGATGAGCTTGGGCCCAGAGAATTCGGCAGCATTTCTGCGTAGAATTTATGAATGGCTTTCTTCTTGTATAATAGAGTTCCAAGTTGCATTTCTTGATGCAGTGGCAGACTGTGACAACGGTTTTCCGGAGTACTCCCGAGCCCATGTGGTTGTATTTAACACAGTAGCATGACGGTTTCTCATGCAGTGCCATCAGAGGGCTCAAAGGTTTCGCACATTTAACAGTGTTTTCCGGCATCAT